TTTACGGTGGTCCGAATACAGCTACGTTGGTCGCTTGAATCGCAGAGGAAGCAAAACACGTCCGGCGTTGTTTTCATCAGAAATGTGTCGGTTTATTGTAGGATGATCCACAGTGAGCACCGCAGGAATAACCATGCAGAGCCTGCCAGCCTATCGACGAATTCAGACTGAATTGGGATTGCCAAACCCGTCGGAATGGAAGCTAACTGATGGATCTCGCAAGGAGCAGAACAGCGGGGAAATATACTACATACAGCTTGCTGTCAGTCGTCAGCCACCAGGAAAGTTGCAAAAATGTCGGAACGCGGATGAAAAGATAGTCTATTATAAATGATTATCATAATAAGGACATTATTACATATGTCCTTTGGTTAGCGCATAACTACGAAATGGCACAATAATGCAATATTCTAGTACAATAAAAGTTTTTTTCTATGACGACGATTCTTGCTTTCTAATAGCTTATGGTTGTTCGATCTCGACTGTTTTATTTAGCTGATATTCACATAGATTAAAATTCTATGAAACAGATTGATGATGCTATTACCCGTTTCTAGTTAACAATTAGATAGAATACAACGAATCATGCATAGTCGAAGTATGTGAGAATAGTATTGAGGAATTGTCCCTTTAAGGCCATATATAATAATTTTTCAGTATTGTCACAAAAGTTAGGTATTACGCTGAGAGTTGGCTGTTTATTAATAAGGGACAAGTTGAAATTAGTCACGAAAGAGACAAGAATATGCTTCTGGAAGTTCCATAAATTTAAACTCACGACTGTTAATGTCAACGTTGATACGTGCTGATTTAGTAGACCCGTAGTAATTTTTACAATGAAATCATCGGCGAAATGCCAACTTTGAAATTGATTCTTATGACAAAGTTTCAGATTATAAAGTTACGGATTAAATCAAGCAATCCATACAGGTGAACACTTGAAATTATAATAACTCAGACCTCCGATTAAATAACAGCGTGCTAACATAGCGGCCTTGTGCAGTCACCATGATGAAATCATAAAATAAAATGAGAGTAAGTCACCTACATTCGTAGTTCGATAACGGCATCGCATTGTAGTCGCAGAGAGCTTTCGATTAATAGACAACGACAATATGAAAGGCTAAGTCAGACAGTTGATATAGATGTCCATCTGTCAATTACATAAATTCAAATTCTCGACCGCAAACATCGCGCGGTCATCACGATGGAACCGTAATAAGACGGTTTTTACAGACCAGCAGAAGTTCTCTTTCATCTTATACGTTGGGAACAAAGTACTCTTTCTGTGTGATTCCGGCATCTTTCCGGATTCCAGAATTTTATTATTGTGTATAGAACCAAAACAAACCCTTTTATTTGAATGCCTTTCCTGCTGAAAGGTATGAGGTACATACGGCTGAAATGACTTCTCTAAGAAGAATCATCTCGACACAGTCCGCAGAAAGGGTATCCGATTAAACCTTGGCGTGCAGCAGTTGCTTCTTCAGACTTAGAGTCACAACTGCGATGGTTGCTAATGCTGTCAGAAATGAAGGCGAAGCACCTACTACTTGCATGACCGACATGCGGAAGACCCCGGACGAGGCCAAGATTAAGCTGAAGCAAGTGTATCGAAGGACTCTTACTCTTGACAGCAGTTGTTTTTGCCGAAGCTTTGACGCTAGCGTAGGACTGGGGAAGTGGAACAACTCTATCTGAAACGTCTGTCTGCCTCAGCGGTCCGAAAGCACCAGCTGTCATCGAAATTGATTGATTAATTGCGCTTCCTTCTTCTGTCAGCCTGGGTGAATAAATTTTTAATTTCATTTGACCCAAGACTTCCTCCATTTCAGAGAATGAGATCTTTTCGGTTAATATCTGATTTAATGGGATCACTTCCAAGGTCTCTCTGGAATGTTTTTCATGCGGCTGAGTTTTGTTTTATAGAAGCCATCATTTGCGAATATTTTTCTTTCGAATTGCGATTTACCTATGTTAATTAAGTAATGTTGTTTACTAGTTTTACAAACTTTTGAACCTTAAGTGTTTGCAGATTCAATGGTAGTATTGGTTTTTCAAAAAAAAAATACTGATCTATGATGTTCTTCGAATTGTCATTTATGATCGGTTCATCAGAGAGACAGGAAATATTCACAGTTCGAGCATTCTTCATGTCCTACCAAAATGTCTCAAAATTTATTGATTTACAGGTAGCTACGATTTGGCTAGTTTTTTAATAGCTTGACAGATTTTCACACCGTAAGACTGCTGCAAAGGTATCTCAAATTGATATTACGCAACGTTGACTGGTACGACCAAGGTCATTTGCCTCGTCGTCAGGAGATTTGCCTCAACGACGTGTTTCTGTGCTTTGGATTGTCTTCAAACGCGTTTATGGCCATTTGGCAGTTCAAATGTGAGAAAAGCTTTGGGCAAAGCTCCACTCTCTTTTAGGGCCGTTCTACCAGACCAATCCAGGCACCGGCCTCTGAGTTCATCTGAGAGTTTACCTACCCAGACGACTGGTCGTCAGCGTCTACTCGTTCGTAATTCTGTGCTACAATCTCACTTTGAGAACACTTCGCAGACAGTGTTGTTGGAAGCCGTCTGTATAAGCTTCATAACGTTTAGGACCGGTAGATGTTTTGAATCTGCGCATAGGCAACGAGAACAGGGCTACTTTCAGGACGGTGATCTTTGCATCAATTCGTGTACATCGATCTCCCCATGTATCATTGAGGTTGTCGAGATTTGACGATGCCAGTCCAATTAGTCGATCAACCGTCTACTTCAGGATCAGTATCGGCACGGATATCCAGCGCAGTTCTTGGGCATTTAAATTTGTCCCCCTCTTCGATCGTAATAGCATTCCGTGATATCTTTGGACCACCGATCGCGGCTGTTCTCATAATCTTAATCTGCGGACGTTCATTCGCATCCCCATTCTAGCAGCAGGTTGCGGAGTATTTCCGCAGCACGACGTCATCGGCATTCTCAACGTCCGTTACGAATACCGCCCAGTATCTGTAGCCGCATCGCTGACTAATGGCTATTCCCTGGTTATGTGAGACGACGCACTTCAGCATAATCTAGTCCGCCACAGGGTTTATAGCCTTGTGGCAATTTTAGCGTATAGTCCCCCGTTTCTTTCCAACAGAGTAGTACTTATTCATCAATTTCGGAAGGAAAAAGGGCGAACGATTCCACCAGTGCTTCAACTCAGGCCCCATCGGTTCTGAGTTCGACGTTTTGCCGACCGAGCAACCCCGGTCTGAAGCAACGCGTAGTAAATTCCTTGCTCAAGTGAATAAGACGAAGACGAAGATTGCTCTTGCGAGAAATCGAACCTCGCACCTCCGACCTTCCTGTCCGAAACAGACCTCAGACCTCTTAAACACTGTGCAAACATACCGCGCCTGGGCGTTTAGGTCATTTGCGACGATCAATAATTAAAGTGGAGGGAAAGAACCGAGAATCGCATGAAGGCAGGCGTAGAACTGGTCGTTCTTCAAGTCCTGCGCAAACTTCGTTAGGAATTATGAAGCAACAAAGTTCGTCATAACGCGTCATGGTGCAACTCGGCAAACGATGACACGGTCGCTCGTGTACTCCACGAAGATCAAAGAGCTCGCAGCTCAGAGTACAGTAGGACTGCAACTTCAGCCTCACGGCGAGACTGTTAGTCACCCAACCAATAGAACTGCAGGCATCTTGAAGCTGCTGATGACCTTAGCCCTTTAAGTGGGTGTCTGAAAGTCACAAGATGTCCATCTTGTATTGCCCTGTGTGCCATCACCGTTCAACATCCGCACGATTTCGCCGGCGACACAACTGCTGGAAGATATTAAGCAGGTCT